AAGCGATGCACGTGTGCAAAGTACTTATACGTGTATTATGTCGTCTCGTCAACAATAGCTAGTAATTTATTCTTATTTTTGTTACTAGAAAACTTAGTAGTAAATATATATATATATATATATATATATATAGTGATGTGACGAATGAATTTTGTAGTGTAATTGGTCTGCAGCTACAATAATCAATAATTAGATGGCACATATATAGGACGCTTAAAGCAGTATGGTATCGGACCCAAATTAACAAACTTGCGGCAAACTTCCGCGTAGTCATCGGCAATAGGAACTATTGTCGTTATGATTAATGTTCTATATGCGCTCTTATGTTTTAACAGCAATTTTAGCAGACGGATTACCTCAACCTACGACGACGGTAGCCACTGCAGCAGCAACAACATCAGCACCAGCCACAACAGCAGCGGGACCAGAAACAACAACAGCGGCACCAGCAACAGTAGCAGCAACAACAACGATAACTACTACTACTATTACAGCTTCAATCGACCAAGTTGAATGCCAGTGGTCAGCATGGTCGAGTTGGTCAACGTGCTCCGGAACTTGCGGATGTGCCTATCGAATGCGATCACGTACCGGGTCATCGTCGTGCAGGCAAGTACATCTTACTACGTCTAGCTGAAACCTTGTGCCTCGGTTCGCACTGTGTATGCGAGTCTACCTTAGTACATGTAGCAGTCATTTTGTGACTCCGTTAGCAGCTGGCTGCATTGCGCAGGCAAGTAAACCTTACTAGCTATATCTAGCTGACATTTTATGTCTCGGTTAACATCGTGCAGACAGGTTAATCTTACTATATGTGGCTGACATCTTATAAGATATAGATGCATGACGACAGAATATTGTATAAATATATCCAACCATTTAAGATAAATTGCTTCTTTATTTTTGTCTCAAAGATAAACTAATTAATCAAAAAACGAGAAAATATTGTATATGTATCATCACCCGTCTATATGACAAATTTCATCCCAATTTCAGTCTCACGGATAGGCGTCAGACGGAGGCCTGTTCATCTGTGAGGGTGTGCTCTGGAAACAGTAAAATGCGTAAATATGGAATGAAATCCAACTGCTGTGTACATTGGGTGCAATCAGGATCAAACTGTGTACATGCGTGAGCAGGGAGTTGGGTCCTATGCGAGGGATGAAAGACAGCAGACAAACGCCAGCCAAATCTCCGACAATAAGGAACTCTGGCTATTAATTAAAATACATTATTCGTAAATAATACAAATATTTTCAAAGTTGTTAAATCACTTCGTGATGACTGTGGATAAGCAAGTAATATTTAATTAAACGTAAAAATTGGTGCATATTTTATTTTGTGGAAAGGTTATATAGAACGATACAATTTCTGTTGAAGGCCATCGTGTATCACAAATACCAGTCAACAATTTCTGTATATAGCGATCCGTACAGCAATTTTGAAGAAGACTGCTGTACAATATAGATGTTATAGGCCTATAGCCAATGCAGATACGTCAATTTATATAGCTAGCCAGTTAAATTCGCAATTGCCGTCCGTTATAGATTCATATTGCACCATCGAAGTAAATACATCTTATTAGATCTTCCGATACTGACTATATAAATCAATAAATCAATAAATCAATGAATTCGTCTTCTAATCCTTTCATTAATGTAATCAATATACTTGCGTAGTGCGGCGCATTCATTGGCTATAAATGCACTAATGCAACGTAAATAAACAATAAAACGTAATAAACGTATAACGTATAAACGTAAACGTATATAACGTTATATATTATATATTATATATAATAACGTTATATATAACGTAACGTGTTATATATACGTTATATATAACGTATATACGTAAAACGTATAAAACGTAATAAACAATAAAAGATTATGTGTAACAAGGCATCTGATTGGGTAAAAAAGCCTATAATTTTACCGCGATTAAGTCATTTCTACTGCGGTAAAAAATAATTATTTTTGAGTACGATGGCCAACCATAGTTAGATGAGGCAGAGCATATAAAAAAAAATCATGCTTTGTCCAGATCAGGTTAGGCGTACAACTATTCAACGGGGTTATTCAGCGATCGCTTCGATTGCGTTGCCGCTGCTGCGCCACCGTAGCATATCGGGTGGATCACGTGATTCATAGTTTATCGCCATTTTTGCACAGCTCAGTGTTAGATCGTTCTTGTCGACGGAATTCATCCTTTCCCGTCCTGCGAGTTCCAATTCGAACAGAACCTTTAACCTGCCATAATGTCAAGAACTTTAATAATAGTTGCTTTGCTAGCCCCACTCTGTGCTTACGGTAAGTTTTAATAAGATAAATGTTATCGACACTAGAAGTAGAAAATTTCATGTTGCCAATTCTAGCAGTAAATACTAATAGTAATAGTAATACTAATAGACGTATTACTAGTAATAGTAATAGTACTAATAGGCCTACTAATACTATTACTAAGTAATAGTAATACATAAAACTAAAAGTCATAATTTGATACTTTGTGTTATCTGAAACAAGTCTGTGCAATTTGCACGTTGGCTCCAATATTAGTTTAACACAGGCCTCGAATTAAGCGACGAGAGGGGCAAGGCAATTTTTGGGGGGCATGTGAGAAATTGCCTTGAATTTTCTCTAAAGTGGATGGGCACCAAGGCAATTTTAAAAGACATCAAGGCCATTGTTATAAAAAACTTTCTCTAAATTTACTGCACTTAGCAAGCTACACACCGTACAGATCATGCGCACTGGCCATTCTTGTGCGAGCTTTGTTTCCCGCGCTTTAAATCACGCGCGGGCCGAGTCCGGGCGTGCAGCATTTAAATATTCGTGTTCTACCACGGGCATACACAGGTGCACGATTTATCGATTGTCTACTGGCAGCGGTTGGCAGCAATACCACCAGGGCTCGAATTAACCGACGGCACCGGCGGCAATTGCAGTAATAGTAATACATAAAACTAAAAGTCATAATTTGATACTTTGTGTTATCTGAAACAAGTCTGTGCAATTTGCACGTTGGCTCCAATATTAGTTTAACACAGGCCTCGAATTAAGCGACGAGAGGGGCAAGGCAATTTTTGGGGGGCATGTGAGAAATTGCCTTGAATTTTCTCTAAAGTGGATGGGCACCAAGGCAATTTTAAAAGACATCAAGGCCATTGTTATAAAAAACTTTCTCTAAATTTACTGCACTTAGCAAGCTACACACCGTACAGATCATGCGCACTGGCCATTCTTGTGCGAGCTTTGTTTCCCGCGCTTTAAATCACGCGCGGGCCGAGTCCGGGCGTGCAGCATTTAAATATTCGTGTTCTACCACGGGCATACACAGGTGCACGATTTATCGATTGTCTACTGGCAGCGGTTGGCAGCAATACCACCAGGGCTCGAATTAACCGACGGCACCGGCGGCAATTGCCGGCGGTGCCCCTATCAATCGCCGTACTGCCCCTGAAAATCCAACCCGACCGACGGCAGTGACCTGCCTTGCCCTTTTCTGTAATTGCCGTCGGTGCCTCTGCCTCTGGCTAGACTGGTTCGCGCCCGCACTGTTTGTCGCAGAGCGTGAGGCCGGATACCAGTCTACCCGGCGGCAAAAACAATAACGTGGTATTGCTGCCAACCGCTGCCAGTAGACGATCGATAAATAGTGCACCTGCATGTGTATGCGCGTGGTAGAACACGAATGCTGCACGCCCGGACTCGGCCCGCGTGCGATTTAAAGCGCGGGAAACGACGCTCGCGCAAGAATGGCCAGTGATCTGTACGGTGTGTAGCTTGCTAAGTGCAGTAAATTTAGAGAAATTTTAGTAGAATTCATACGATGACACAAAGTTTTCCATAACAATGGCCTTGGTGCCCTTCTCAAATTGTGAGAGTTGCCTCGATGCCTTTTAAAATTGCCTCGGTGCCCATCCATTTTAGAGAAAATTCAAGGCAATTTCTCACATGCCCCCAAAAAATTGCCTTGCCCCTCTCGTCGCTTAATTCGAGGCCTGCGTTATTGTTTTTGCCGAAGGGTAGACTGGTACCGGCCTCACGCTCTGCTAGACAATGTACACGCTCTGCGACAAACAGTGCGGCCGCGAACCAGTCTAGCCAGAGGCACCGACGGCAATTACAGAAAAGGGCAAGGCAGGTCACTGCCGTCGGTCGGGTTGGATTTTCAGATGCAGTACGGCGATTGATAGGGGCACCGTCGGTTAATTCGAGCCCTGGTTTAACATGTACATCGAGTAAGTCGTGACAAGTCAATATAATACTATGCCAAAAAACCCAAGGACCGTAACACAGTGACAGAGTAAAGGCCAAGACACTGCAGCGACACTCACAGATAGTGCCTGCATGCCTCGACCAATCGGAGCGCTCGCAGCTCCTCCCAAAGAGACGCGTCGTTGACCGACCAATCGGAGCGCTCGCAGCTCAGGCACTAAAGTATGATGTTTTGTGATGATGTGACATGCTAATGCGATGTTTTGTGGTTGCATTATTTAAGCTGGCTATTGTGAGTGGATGGTTACTGGTAAGGGTTAGGGTTTAGCTTTATATTTATCAGCTTTAGTGCCTGAGCTGCGAGCGCTCCGATTGGTCGGTCGACGACGCGTCACTTTGGGAGGTATGCAGGCCCTGGCCTAGCTCCAAGAAACGGTATTGCTAGGGTTAGAATACCGTTTCAAATTCTTGCCCATAAATCCATGTAGTTGGCTCGGTATCCAACTATCGACACAGCTAGCGTCACATGTAATAGCTCAAACGAATCTATAAACCTCTGGCTTGCTCGCGGTAACTGGGCGCTACTGGGCGCTACTTATTTATCGAGTTATGCTGTTTTTCTGAGATGAATTGGATCAAAACAACCAGACAGCCGCCATGTTCAGTGCGACTAAAATCGGCAATGGACCTGATTTTCACAGTGTGTAGGCCTAAACACAAGGCAGGTACATATCTTCGCAATGATAATTATTAAAGGCATAATAGGCCCATTGATTATACAAAGTTGACGAATGCTACAGTAACTGGCACCTTCTGTAGTTAATAAGTACATTACCTTATAGTCAAACGCGTATTAGTTTGTCCAAAATCACTGCTAATTACTAAGAAATGTCTAATTGAAATCCGTAAATCTGGTAATCTGGCGCCAACGCTAAATTGGTTGCCAGGCAAAATAGCCTCGAATTCGGTTAGGCAACGTCACATGTTGCTACGGGTGTTTAGCAGAGAATTGTTTGTCCCAGGATGCTTATATACGACTAATGAGCTAGTAGAATGTATCTCTGGGTGTATTCTAGGTATTGAGGCACAAGTAAATAACCGTGGGTGCTAATGAACGGGTACCCACATGTCTTCAATTTCAGACACAGGTGTATTCGTTTGACCAATATACAGACGGCATTCCATGTTTAGTCTGTGGCCGTGGTTAGTCCACGATCTTCCCATAGCTTTGGCCCACACAGCATACTTACATTATCGACGGCTTGTCCGTGATTGTACGTGTGATTCCGTTTCTTACAATTAGCTATGTTACATATACAGTGACATCGGTACTGTTACTATTTTGCCATTGCGGTTCGGCGAGCGAATAATGCATGCGGCCGTGCGTTTATTGACGAAATGCTGTCTGCGAAAATGTCGGTTGGTACTTATAAATCTGTATCAACCTCGTTTCGAAGTATGCGCGTTTCGAAACTTGTAAATCAATGTCAGCTCAACTGATTTGTGGACCTCCGGATTTCAAATTGACATTTCTTAGTAACAGCATGTATTGACAAACTAATACGCGTTTGGCTTAAGGTAATGTACTTATTAACTACACAAAAGTTCGTTACTTGCATTCGTTAAATTGCAACTCCACCACATCGATGCGCCTATTATGCCTTAATGTTGTTGTAGGATGATGTTTTGGTTTTTCAATGTTTTTAATATTTTATATATATCGAAGTATATGATGACTAATTTTTGCTCGCCGCAACTGCGAAGTTGCAGATGCTATGTATGTTATGTCGTTCGGGTATTCCGCAGTTGAGTTCAAAGCATGACGCACTTGGAACGAAGAGCGCCCGTTGGCGTTTTAGTTTTGAGAATTTTTGGTTCGCGATCTTGGAATTTCACTGTGCACAGCGACTGAAGGTATTAGTTTTCGAATAACAACTGCAATACATATAAGGTGAAGCGTTATACTTATAACACACGCAGAAATCTTAGCTGTTATTTTATTTTTGGAGATATACGTATTGTTGCAGTGTTATGTGAGGTAAGATTTTTCAATGTATGGATTTAGGCTGAATATATTGACGTCTGTCACACAGGCCTGGTCGGGTTAGCCTGGCCTATGCTGCGAGCGTGCACCACACGCGGAACCGGACCGTAACGACAAGAACAAAGTCCGCGGAGACTGGCGAAACCGTAGAGGCGACCGACTTAGATCAAGTTCACCCAGCATGCCACGAGTGAGTACAAATCACTATGAACAAACGGCAAAACTCTGCTGCTGCTTTTTTTTAAATACCGCGATGGCTCGAGTACGGTAGCCGCTCCCCCCGTCGTTTGAAGCCCATTTTTGGCCGTACTAGGTTAGGATTAGGGTTAAGGCTTTTAGGGTTGGTTAGGGTTCAGTAGCCTATCTACTCTCAAATCGTGAATTTATTTCCCAAGGCGTTATTTCGAAATCTGGCGCCACAGCCGCCATCTTTGTCTCGTTAAGTATGAAAGCGAATGGACTCCCGTACCCGTAGCCTCGAGACACAGACATTAAGATACGGCTACCGTACCCGTAGCCACTGCCTTTAAATAACAGGCTGCAAAAACTCTCTAGGTATAAGGATAAGTATAAGGATAAAATTATACGCAGCAAAGTATCATGTATTAATATATTATGTGAATACATGATACTGATGAAGACTGATTCGCGGCCCCATTGTTTGTGACATGCGGCGGGAGTTTAGCGCCGGAGACCAGTCTACGTCTTGGCTAGCATTATGGGTTATTTATGACGTAATCGTTATGTCACGTGCCGATGGAAACGGCTGTGATTGGCTATTTGTAAAGTGTTGCTCGTGACTGTCGCTGGAGAATAGAAACAGTCTAAATATTTTTGTCGTCGAGGTTGTCGCCGGTCGTTGTCGCGTGTGTGTGAAATGGCTCATAGGAAACAATTGTTTCTAATTTTCTGAAGTCGTTTGTCGTTACGGTCAGTCGCTGTCGCTGCAGTGTGTCTTAGCCTTAACTTAAACTAAACTTATATTTAGTTATAATAGACTCCCAAATATGATGACAACACAAGGAACACAATTACAATACTTCTAATTTATGATTCTATGTATGGTTACATGTTACCATCCTGGATCAGCGTTGACTATTTATTCAGACAATTTATTCAGGCAATTCACTTTCTTGCTGTATTAGTATGGCTCGTGATGAGATGGCACTTTTAAAGAATGTTATTTTTCTAACTTACAAGAGCAAACTGTACAATTGCAACCAGCAATGACAGTTTCGGACCAGTGCTTGGATGGTAGTGCTTATTACCTTCGCCAAGGAGGTAATGTAATCGGTCTCGTGTGTGTGTGTAGCCACTAGTGTTCGCGCGATCGATTCAGCAGCAGCTCGCCTTAGGGCGTCGAGTCAGCAGCAGCTCGCCTTAGGGCGTCCAGTCAGCAGCAGCTCGCCTTAGGGCGTCCAGTCAGCAGCAACCAGCAGCGAGCCAGCTGTTATACACATACATGTTACATGCTGGCACTCTCCGTGAGTGCCCTCTGTCTAGTTAAAGTTAAAAATGGCTACAGTTGCCTTGAATTTACTTGATTTATGATTATCGATAATTACACGCCTCAAATCGTTAATATCACTTTGTAAAATGTCAAAACACTAAATGAGAGAACAATTTTTAATTCGTTCTTGTATTGCCTTGTGCAAAAGAGTACGGTAGTGCATGCCATGATGATATTTCTTGATGGGATTCTGTTGGATTTCATAATTTATCATTCGTCAACCATCAACTGATTTACTATCTACGTACTATTTTACGTGTCTAGACACATTTATTTTAATTTTTTGTCAAATTCAGTTTGCTCTCACTTTCAAGCATAGACAATATAATTAGGGTTACAGGATTTGAAGTTGTGTTTTATAACGTTATAGTCACATAAGGACCAGTAGATAATGTAATGGATGAGTGGAGAGATGTATTAATTTGGTTTCAAACTCATTGTAATAGTACAGTTTATCTTTCTCTTTGGCTTTACTATATTTAGGCATTCAAACTTCAAGTAGGGTCATTTTTTGGTATAGGTTTATTTGACATTCGTGCAGCTGGTTTAACTGATAGATAATGTTTTATACAATGTGTATGTTGAGGTAGTGAGAATATTGTTTTGTAAATCAAAATGCAATTTTTACATTTATAGTTAAAACTTTAAATATATATATAAGTTTTTATAGTTTTAACTTGTTTTTAAATTTACACTGATTATTATAAAATACTCATTATTTTATTGTGAAGATCTGATGCACTCATTTTGTTTGCGACATTGGCTTTTTCGACTGCCATATTGTTAGGTTCCACTAGTAAAGCCTTCACAGCTCACGCATGTATGTTGTACAGAGCTGTACTTCATTGTTTCACGTCTTGGTAAACCGGTTGTGTACTGTAGTCGACTCTATAGGCATGGACATTGGTGATAAGATCCCAAAAATAGGAGTTGTGGTATGACTCCGTGCTGGGAATAAGTTCACACTACTAATGCAGGTATTTGATTAAAATAAAAATTTCCCGTTTTTCTGCAAGTATGGAAACTTGATCCAACCTGCAGGTTTCGTGGGGAAGAGCATTTAGAAAAAATATTTTGAAGTATTTAAAGAACTGTAATGTTTGTATGTGTTTGTGATGTGGATATTGCTCATTTTCACTTTGTTTTGTTTAAGTGAGCAGTACCTATTACCTAGCGTGTCCGAGATGGTCACCTCAAAGTGCTTCCTTCATTTATTTGTGTCATTTCCGCATTTAGAAATGTACTAACTTTTATCAACTTTTTATGCACACAGGCCAGGACACCATCTATAATCAGATCATAACGGGGCAACATGTGTACCAGGCTGGGGACACTATGACGCTTAAATGTACAGTGTCCCCATCGCCCGTGCTAATTCAGTGGACAAAGAATAATGTTAAAATAATCAACGGTGTAGCGGGTACATCAATTACGGTAAACTCGCTCTATTCGAAGAACATGGTGGAGAGCATTCTGACGATTGAGAACTTGTCTCCCAGCCATTCAGGCTCATATAGGTGCATGAGCGATGGCAACCCAGATCCCTTCAAGGTAGTGGTTGTCACCGGTAAGTGCCAAACCTCTTCCTGGTGGCACGCTGCATTTACTGCATGGTGTTGAGTTGTAATAATATCTGTCAGGTTCTCTAATATTGTCTTGCAGAGTGTGACTAAAGCATTGTTCCGCACCATCGTTTCAGATGATTCGCTTGTGATCAGTTGTGAAACCGTGTATTACCGTAGAGACTAGCTGTCATTAGATGCAGTTTTGAAGTTGATTTACACGAATGATCTTTTAGTTTGTCATGCTTAAAATAGCTACGTCTCCTAGAACAAATATTGCAAAAAATACTCCAAGTGCTGTGTAACAGAATACGTCTTGGTTTTGTCAGTAGAAATCTGTTAGCTTTGTGCTGACTTGTTAAATGCACAGTAGATTTAAATTATTATTTGTAAATGTATTTTGTCAATTTTTATATAGGCTAACATTTCGATAGTCCACAAATCTACTCCATGTAAGGAATGTAGTATGGAAAACCAATATGAGACGTAGCTATTATAAGTTAATACTAATAGACTATAGAAGTAGTTAATAGTTTACGTTGTACAGATCTTTATTATACATACATATAGACATATGTGTTTGTATAATTTATGTACAGCTTAGGAACAGTCTTAGATTTACAGTTACATTATATTTTTTGTTTAAATCGATTTTATCATTTCACTTTCACCATCATTTCTATCCTACATGATTGATTACACATATATACATAATAATATATACACATACATACATATGACATATATGTCACATGACACATGCATGTGAGTATATAATTCGGATGCTCACAGTACATGTATGCACAATCATCAGCCGTAGCTTAGGCAGTCCCTCTGCTTCTGGGTTATATCAGTTACAAGTTTGCTATGTACTACACTATCATAATAATCCTTTACGTCAGTGGTTCTTAACCTTTTTTGAGTCATGGACCCCTTTCGGAATCTGGTGAAAGCTACGGACCCCTCCCCAGAAAAATGCACATAAGCACATAAACAAATTTTTTTATGCGCCTGGTTCACAGACCTCCTGAAGCCCATCCACGGATCCCAAAGGGGTCCATGGACCACAGGTTAAGAACCCCTGCTTTAAGTAATAGCAGTGTTTACTATTTTCGCCGGGAGTTCGAACCGGTTTTGCAAAGAAAGAGCTTCGTTTAGCTACGACTTTTTTCTGGCCTCCTTCAATTGATCGATCTGCGAACTTACGCGTGATGAGTGTGTGGTGGGTGCGAACGTGTTTCATGGTCGATTCAAGTGCGTCAGTGTTGAGTGCGGTCGGTCAGGGTAGGCTGATATTAAAGTAACATGGGGCTGGGTGTGTGCATGTGTGGCTGACTGACTGACTGACTGACTGACTGACTGACTGACTGACTGACTGACCTGACTGACTGACTGACTGACTGACTGACTGACTGACTGACTGACTGACTGACTGACTGACTGACTGACTGACTGACTGACTGACTGACTGACTGACTGAGAGTATCAGGGTGGTTGAATGCGTGATTGAATAAGATTAGTTTATATCTGCATGTGCATCCCGTCTGCCCGTCTCCTTTATCTTAGCAGCAAAGGTAGAAGAAAAACAAACAAGTGCAAAAGTTGATTCTATTGTAAAAATAATTATATATAATCTTTAAAAATTATACTGATACGTTATTTGACAGTAGGTGAGATCATAGGTCAATTGGGATAGATGAAGATTACAGATTTGTCTGTTGCAGTTTTTTTCATAATAATACCAGCTGGCGACATTACTTTCACATTTAGTTATATTCGATGGGGAATGTAATTTTGCGTAGAGCAGGAACTTATTATTATTTACATTAGTCGTGGTTTCATATGGTTTCACTAACTCTTGCGTATGTGTATGTTTTTCAGAGGTCGTGTTAGCGGCCTTGGTCTGATGTGAATGTTCTTACGTGTTCATCTTTCTTTGCCAACTTGTAGTGGAAAGCTCACCTAGTGAAGTCACCCTGGACAGTGGCTCAAATGGCCTACTTTACTGCACTCCGCACCCCAAAGCGTGGGAGGTGGTGTGGAGCAAGGATGGCCACTTGGTGACCACAGACGATCGCTACAGGCTGCTAAAGAATAACACGTTGATAATAGTCGATGTTGCGATGCGTAGCTCGGGTGTATACATGTGCAGGCTTTCGGGCATCGAGGGTCCGACTCCAAGCGTCAACATCACTGTGCGCGGTAAGAGGCAACGTGCCGCCCCCTGGTGGGCCGCACGCGCGTCGGCGACTCATTCGAGAAGTGTGTCGTGCGCACCTCCGAGGCGCCTTTTCTCTCGCCTCCCCCCTCCCTTGACGCGTCCACTTTCTGCTTCGGGACGCGTGGGCCGTGTTGTGCACCTTCTCACGTTTATTTTCTGCTGAATGTTTTCTGCTGTAGTGCCTGTTGAGAGTCTTATGAGTTTTAGAATGGCGTTGCTCTTGAAATCGGCTGCCTTCACACACTGCACATGTATACACTCTGCCAGCTACAGGAGTGATTTATCTCGGTCTCTGTCGCACAGCCGTTTCACGCGCGTGAGAAGGGTTTTGTCATCATTGAAGATTTGGGGGGTGGGTGCGTACTTTTTTGTGCGTACGTTCTGCGTTACGGTGGTGAAACATTTGAGAGGATTGCGATAGAGCGACAGATAAATTACCACCTGTAGCTACATGCATTTGCCAACATTTTGTAGTGAAATGTATGTATTTTTTGTGCGATTTTTTATTTGTTTTAGGTTATCTTGCTGCACGCCGTTGATACATGTAGAAATTCCTTCGCTGTCACTGAAGGTTCATGCTGTTCTTTTTCCTGGTTAATTTAATATTTTTCTCGTGTTTTGCAGTTTCAGAGATTTATCGTAGAGATCATCATTTATCTTAAGTTTTAGACCAAAGTCTATGCATTCAGTAAGAAATGTGTACACGAATATGGACACCTATAGTCGTCTGTGCGGTTGCACGTGCAAGTACATGATTTATGATGTGCAAATTTGGTCGAGTTGTCCAAACCGTCGGATTGTACCAAATGCGAATCATTGTCATGCAAGAAGATTTGTCATCACATACACATTTTACACTGTAGCTAATCTTCTTCTTGAACAAAACCTGGGGGGAGTGGGAAAAGTTAGGAGCATGTGACCTTGTTTCGTCATCACGTGTTTATCACTAACAGTTATGTGCAGGCATATTTATTCACCTGTTTTGTGAGTGGTCGATGTTGATTTGGTTTATAGTATATCGTAAACGCATGCTCTTCACTCGTACTGTTTATGGGATGTAGCCGGCCGTGACTGTCACTATGGGCAATCTGAGATGCGAACTTTGATACACTCGGGATCGCCTCATGAGTACATGTCTGTTGGCTTACGATAACTTGCATGTAGCAGTTTACTGCGTTTGTCGGTGTACACCACGTATACTGTTGTACGTAGCCGTAGTTCGAACTTGTAACATACAGTGCGTGGCCACTTCCAACGCTTTCTCGGTGGCCAAGGGTGTTGGGTAATATAAAAATACCATAACCGATATAAGGAAAACAACACCATGTAGTGTTTTATTTCAGCAGTATTTATAGCATGTGGTGTAACTTTTTAATAACTCTAAAAAAGCTCGATAGAATATTTTTATTTTGCTACATTGCGATTACTTGAGATGGTTTGCAGTTAGATTATTCAACCACAGAATTCTCCCCAGGAAAGCAATGTCATTTATGGATAAAGAGGGATGGGTCCAGTAGGGGGTGGGGTTGAACCAACTAGAGTCAATTATGGGTGTCATAAGCGGCCCCAATACACATGTAACTGGATCAGTTCGGAGATGTATACACCAAGGTTTGAGAACATAGCATGGCGGTGTTGGGATTGTCAAAAGTAAACTGCTGGAAATTAATGCATGTTGGAGGATTTATGGGATGTCGCAAATTACTTTTATCTTTGGAGGCATGTCAGACCAACATGCGTTGAAGGCCTGGGGAGAACCCTGAATCAAAATCGTCCGCAAGTTATGGGCCCATCACAAACATCACTAGACAAACACATTATATAAATAGAATACTTTCGGTGCAGTTACACATTAGGTGCATTTGGTAGCAACTGTACATGTAACACGCATGATATGACACACGTATGAAAGCTGACATTATCAGCAGTATTTTTTTCAAGTATGATTAGTAACATCTAGTGTAGTAATGTACATACAAATCTCGTGTTTCCTATCTCAATAAATAGAAAGATTTCCAAAAAACATTAAAATGGCATGTTTAAAAAGCATTATGGCAAGTTAGAGCGAAGTATCTATTGTTAGGTTCACTGTAATGTCAGTGACTTCAGTATCAGCCATAAAATGTTAATTCTTGGTCATATTATAACCACATGTGAAAATGTCAAGCTTACATGTACCTTTCTTGCTAGTGCCCGAGTCATTCCACGATGTTATATCAGGTGAACAAAAGTCATTTATTTTAGTAGGATGAACATATTAAAGAATAAACTTGCGAGTACTACCTTACCTACCTTAGACAGAGCAGGCATTCATTGCATTCCAAATTAAAATCCTTGTGGTTTAGATTTATTCATTTATTTCATTATGTAGTGTGTCATTAGGACATCCCAGTATGCCACTTTTAATCAGTTTTGCCAGTCGCCTTTAATATTTTTTATGCTACACGTTTGAGAACTCGGTCCTTATGAAGTTCCAGGTAACCTGTTCCTCACAGTAGCATTTCTTCCTCAATTCTGCACGGTTTATGCTTGCTTCTGGAACATGAATCTGGAATGCAGCAAAGGCACATGAAAGAGAGGTACATGACGGGGGTAACGATATGACGAGGTTTTCAAGAATGGAACCCTGCACGCGCTAACCTTCTCTGAAGTGAGACGTGCGTGTTTGTGTGTGTGTTCAAAGAAGGCAATTTATCTTGGTCGTCCGCTGTTTTCCAGTTGTTGGAAAAGAATCGATAATCCTGTCCAAGTTTGGTGAAAGCGGGACGCTAAACTGCAACAGCGATAAGAAAGTGCAGTGGACAAAAGAGGGCGCCGCACTGAACGAATCGCTGACGGAGAAGTATGATTTTGGAACGAATGCATCGCTGACCGTTAAGGATGTACAGCTGCCCGACGTTGGCGCCTACTACTGCACCCCGGCCGAGAATGGCGATTCCAGCGTCGAGTTCGAACTGCAAGGTTCGTCTTGTTACTACGCTAGCATTCTTTGACCGATACCCACGTGCGCATGCCGTGTGCGAAGTGTACAGTTTATCGCTAAGTGCGTGTTTATGCTGTGTGCGAAAAGCGAATTACTAACAACTCAAAATTCATCCAGAAACTCGTTTGGTAAGAATGTTTTCGTAGCATGTGTTATTCGGTAGCTGTAATCAAACTATCAGCTTGTGCTGTGAACAAGTCGAGGGTATTGCTATTTAACAAACGCGTCTATCTGCCAAACGTCGGATTTTTATTCATTGTAATGAGATGTTTACTTTTTTAAAGTGTATTAAAATTGTGTAAGTTTTAAAAAGACATACAGAAGCGGTCAGCTGCACAGCACATGCGCTTGTGCGCGTTGTTTACTTGGTTCACATTGTTTTCTGATAGTCATGGGACACCCTAACGAAACCTTCCATAAGTCCAAGAACATCATAGAGGGTGATAACCACACGATCACATGCAGTCCCATTGGCTCACCAGATGGACTCAATGTGACCTGGTACAAAGATGCCAAGCTACTTGTCGTAAGTAGAAGCTTCGTTTCAACATAATTGCTCCAACATTAGAGTATGTGCTGCTGTTTGTCTGTGGAGAGATGGTGATTTTTCCCACGTGCATCAGTAGAGTTGCAGTTGCAGCCAGTGAAGATTAGCGCTGCAGGCATCCATGAGAATGTTTCATCGTGCGTTGAGTAGCGTCATCTAACGTGTGTAGTCGCTCGCATCTCTTGCTCGGTGGTGCGAGGTTGGAGTGCACCTGGTTGTTAATTGAAGCGCATGCATTCTATGTGCAAGTACGTCGCGTGTCGGTGTTTATCATGCGTTCTCTGTGGGTTTTTTTCCTGTAGGAAAGCGATCATTTGATGCTGCAGCAAGTGAATAACAGCGACTCGGTGAGGCTGTTGATCATCAGTGCGAGGATAAACGAAGAGAGCGGAAAGTTCGAGTGCCTCGTTAGAAACGACTTTGGTAACGCGAGCACCGTGATAACGATCCGCGTTAAAGGTGAGCTTGCACTCTAGATCTACTTAACGGAGGCAGGTTTAAGGTGGGTTTAAATTGTGCTACATGAAGAATGCTGGCCAACTTTTCAGCCTCATGCGCTGCAGTCTGTGGGTGTTTCTGAGCTATTCATTTAAGAGGAAGGATGATTGCATTGTCTTATATTTCACTATTAGTTTCAGTTAGTTTATGCATGTGCTAGTTGTAAACAAGCACAACTTCATCACGGGGAAGTAGCTTAGTTATGTGGTGTCATGGCAATGCCTATGACTTCATTTTCAAACTTGTTCATGAATGTTTAATAACGAAAGTGAATGTAGGCGATGACAGAAATGTGTAGGTATATACCTACTATTTTTATGTGATAGTCATCATGATATACCACTCAAATTCTAGAATGTTGAGCTCCTCTTTAGGAGTAGAGGTCACATATGTGAGAGCAAAGTGTGTACAACTGAAATTGTAGAGGCAGGCAGAGTAAAGGAGGTAGAGTTTGTGTGATGTATAATTTTACCACATGAGGCAGGACATAAGCAAGAGTTGTGTGAATCTGTGCTATGCACTGTACAGGCAGGGGAGAGAGAGGGAGGGGGGAGAAGGGGCACGAGGTAATGTATGTAAAGCTGCACGTATGCTTGTAGGTGAGGAGAAAGAAATGAAAAAGATTGTAGATTCATAAACTAAGACATGGGTATTTCAGCGTTGAGGGCGCGGTGCTACAGCGTATACCGTAACTGTTTCAGACAAGTTGGCGGCTCTGTGGCCTTTCCTGGGAATCTGTGCTGAGGTTGCCCTTCTCTGTCTGATCATATTCATCTACGAGAAGAAGCGCAGCAAAGATGAGGATGATGACGACATCGCTAACGAGAACATGTAAGTAAGAGTGCTGACTGTGAAGACCCATAAAGCCCGCCGCACACGGTGAACTATCTGCTGAGCCAACGGCCTCAAGATTTGAGAAAGAAAAACAAGAAGGCCGTTGGCTCAGCAGATAGCTCAGCGTGTGCGCACAGATTCTGCACGATTTTTGGCCTCGCGTGGCTGTGAGACCGATATCTATCGTGTTTGATATTTGTGGCCACGCGAGGCCAGAAACTCAGCGTGTGCGGACTGCGTGAGGTATCAGCTCAGCCACAAATATTTACCGACCAATGAAAGCGCAGGAATAGGGCATGTGATTTAAAATGTCGGCGCCCACTGAACAGCAGAAAACTCTACTTTTCCTATTATTAATTCGACGTGTTCGACGTCGACGAACAGCGTCAACGTCAACACGTAACATTTGGACGAGGGAATGGTTGCAGAGAAGGGAGATACGAGGCGTTTATGCCACTCTCATACAAGAAGTGAGATGTGAGGACCCGGAAACATTTAGACAGTTCCATCGCCTGGATATCCATGACTTCCAGGAAGTTTTGGCAATGGTGGGATCCAATAATTCAAAGGGAAAACACCATTATGCGGAACAGCATCAACCCTGGCGAGAAGACTATCCCGTAACCCTACGGTGTTTAGCAACTGATATGCATGTATATGTGTGTATGTGTGCGTGCGTGCATGCGTGCCGTGGTGCGTGGCGGCGTGCGTGTGCACGTACACGTCGTGCATGCGGCCTGCGTGCGTGTGGCACGTACAGCGTCGTGCGTGCCATGCGGGCGTGTGTGCGCGCGTCTGCAGGTACACGTTCGTGCGTGCGTGGCGTGTGCAGCGTACACGGGCGTGCGTTCGTGTGCGCGTACACGTGCGTGCATGCGTGCGTTCTCGTGTGTGCGTGTTGCACGCGCTGTTGCATGTGCACGTAGACCTGATGCCGGTGCGTGCGTGTGCACGACACGTGCGTGCATGGGAGTGACATGTGTGTGTGTGTGCGTGTGCACGTACGCTCTGTATCGAACAATATCACGCATCTGCTTTGCTGGCCATTGAACCGTTAAACTTTGCATGTGCGCATATGACGTCATGTTTATAAACATGAAACATCGCTATAGGCATAATCTTCTCGCAATGTAC